TGCTTATAGAATGTATCCAATAACTTGCTCCTCATTGCACCATTTTCGATTCATGCTGTATTTATTTTATTGATCCAGTTTGTTTAATTTTCCTCTCAATCTCTCTAATTTGTTTCCATATATGTCTCCTCTCTCCTCTGTGCAAACACTGCCTGTGGGTCAGTAGAATACTTCCTGGTTTTGTGTCATGTGACTGTTGGTCACAGCTGTGATGGCTGCTTGGTTGCACAGAATTTTTAGTTTTCAATACATTTTCGAATCAGACATAGAATTATGATGAAACATCAAGATTTTAAGCTTAGATTTGATCATTTTTAGTTAACGAAAAGATGAATATCCAACAATGAGCTTTATTTTCTTTCGTTTCTGGCTCTGACGAATGCTGTCTCTTGGGCTATTTTGTTCCTTTTTTATAACATATTAAGGCCCAATTGCCAAACAGTTGTTGGTTCCAACTTATCAAATGTGAGCAGTTGATGCTATTGTCAGACGTTTTAGAGAAAAAGTACAAAATGTCCATGATAATTCATACTGAAAATGATCATTAGTTGTAGGCCTCATGTGTTTAATTTTAATTTTGTCACATATGAAGAAACTATATCACTATCCTCATGTGTTCTGCTGCAAACATCACAGTAAGAAAGTTTCTGTTTGTGTATTGGGTGTGATGATGGCTGCCAAAATGACAGGGGGTTGAGCAGTGGAAGAATTGTTTTCACTGTGTTTTAACTCTCATGTCTCACCTCAGACTGAAAGTGTCAAAGCCTCTGTCTGTGCCACTGTTTTGCTGCTCAAGGCCCTGATTATTGGAACTGCAGCGACCTTGAGACATGCATAATGTGTTGACCATCGGGGGGTTTCTTTTCGTTTCCATTTCCTGGTTATGCACGTGTGATGTATGTGTGCGCTCGCCTGTGCGTCCAGTTCACAGGAAAGTCAGTGTCACGCTGTTTTCCCATCGTCAATCAGCCTACTTGATCAAGGGGAGCCGTTATCAGTCGACGAACACAAAGGCAGTAGCAGGGGTCAGTCGGGGGGAGGAGGGGAGGGGAGGGGGATAATGTTCTTCTCTGTGTCACCACTTATTTTAATACAATTCCTTCCCATTTAAAGATTTTCTTCTTTCCAGGCCAAGGTTAATGCCACAAACCAGGGTGATAAGATAAGGCTGAGTGGACACAGGGTTTGATATCATTAACTGGTCTGCGCAGCTCTCGGCTCCCAAAGCGAGCTGCTTTACGACCGAGACGGCTCATGATCTCGCTGTCCTCTGCTCTGACTGACAGGTTTACACAGTGGGCGCAAGAGAAACCTTGTAAACATAATTAGTAAGGCTGACATGAATAGAGCGGCTTAATGTTTGCTGTGAGGGTATATTTGCTCAGACGGAGGAGTTATTGGACAGTATAATTACCTGCAGAACTATCACCCAAGGATTAAAATGACTAGAATGGTAAAGGGGTGCAGCCAACGGGCGTTTTCATCATCTATTGATGTGTTAATTGACCATTTAACACTTCAGTCCATGGAAACAAAGTCTGAGGAGACATTTTCAAATTTTGACCAACACCCTAACACCTAAATATACTGAGTTCACTAAGATATTAAACAGCTGAAACTATCAAATTTAAACTCAGATTGTTGCAAACTAACTTTCTGTCTGTGTATTAGTTGAGTTTGAGGTCCAGAAATTGGTCAGACTTTCTAGAACTGCTGAAGGAGGAGGTTTGTACTCGCTTGTGCTTATCTACCAGGCATGTGCCGCCTTTCAAATGTGCTGAAACAAGCAAGTAAACAAAGGAGATTTCCCGTTTGGCCATTATTAGGGAATTTCTTTCCTTGTTTTGGCCAACAAGCTTGACATTGTTCAAAGGTCTCTGGGCAAAACTCTGATTGAAGATAACATAAAGAATGGTGGCGTTGCTTCTAAATAAGTGGGGGGGAAGTGAAGCGTCCACCCAGTCATTTTCTTGGTTTTGTTTGGGTAATTGCTTGGAAGGAAAGCTAATCTTGAAAAGCTGCGAGTTTATCAGTTTCAAAAGTGGTACTTCTGAGCCGCCTGTTGAGATTGACGCGAAGAGCGTTTGGCATCACCAGAAGCACCGGGGAAGCTCCCTGCAAGCTGTCACGCTGACTCCACCTCCAAATATTTAGATCAGCCTCCTCTTATGCCTCCTCTTTCCTGCCTGACACAATGAGACAGGATCCTCCTGGTTGCTATGACTTCGGGCCAGTGTCTGTATGAAATGCAAGCAGACTGGGCGCCTCAGTGAGTAGGCTTCACCACCGACTGTTTGGACAGCAGGACAGGACACAGATACGTCCTGGCTCAGGGGAAAGCTGTGGTCGGGCACGGCGGGACGCAGCCAACAACCCGGACCCTGTCGGCTGGAACAGGTCGCTTCAAGGCTGAGGAGTCTTGAGGGGAGGAGAAGGCGGCAGCGCTGCAGTGGTCCCTCGGCCTCTTCCACTGACTTGTACCTGTGGACAGCGTGGATGTTTCCCAGTGGAACCAGAGAGAGGGGAAGCTAGGAGCTGAGAGAGAGCAGCAGCTGGCTCCAGAATGGGCTGCGATCCATGAATCCAATTGAAGGATTAGGATGGTTTTTGTTACTTTTGACATGCCTCTGGCTTCAATGGTGAGCACTGTTAATATGGTGGGAACCTGCTGATAGCTTTTATCCCTCGGTGCTTATAATTACAACTTCCTGGCCTTGTCTTTGTCTGTGAGAAAGTGGCTTCTTGTCGAAGTGTTTTTAAAGATGTTTACGGGTTTTCTTCACACGTGTGATCTGTCTTGCTGAAAATCTTTATATCTACTTTTACTGTCTTTTTTCACCTGCTTTCACTGTATAGAAGGTCTGCTGTCATATTCTACGAACACTAACTAACTGGGCTTCCAGTAGTGTGCTTCTCAACACCAGCGTCCTTGACCAGTTGGCTCACAAACAAACAAAAGAAAACCTGAATGTCTCCACGCTTGTTTTCTTTTCACCGAAAGTGACTCTGAATTTCTCCCCTTTGTCCTTTCACTCTACTTTTTCCTCCAAAGCCAACATGTCCCTTTGCAGTTAAGTCACTGTTCTCTTTTGTAATCTCGTCTGATGGATAGAAGGACTAAAAGCTGCTTTAAAATCTGGAGGACCCCCCACTCAGGTTTACTATCTCGTTATGCAACTCTGTATAGGCCTCTTGTGTGCCTTTACTCTGGTTAAGTGGCTCCATAAAGGTTTGGGGACATTCTTCCTAAAATGGAAGTCTATGTAACGCAGAACAACTTAAACGGAGCTCCTCATAATATTTACATTTCATTTTGTAACGTATACATGCCACAAACTATGGACTGTGAGAAGTCTTTATCAGAAGTGCTCATGAAAGCTGTTTACAACTGATTGATGACTGAAAATTTCTTATCCAATCTGTGCATTCGTGCAGCTTTTTCTGATTGATTTAAAGCTTTACTAAAGTGCCATTTCGGAGTTGCTGTTAGATTTACTCACAAATATTTCTGTGGATGTAGTTTTCGATAGTTCCAGCTGCCATAGTTTGAATGCTGGAAGACAGGAGTTGATCCAAGTTTGTTGTGGAATTGCAGTGATTAGTTGAATGATCGACCAACCATTTAATATTTATTAAGGCAGAAATGCTTAACATATTGTGGTTTTAGCTTTTTATGTGTGAAGACAGGAGGGTTTTCTTTGTCAAACGTGATTGTAAACTGAATCAGTGTCAGACAAAACGAGACATTTAACAACGTCTTTGGGCTGTGGTGAAATATAACTGGACAAGAATCCTCTGCCGTTGTATTAATACTGAAGAATAATTCTGAGTTGGAGCTCAAATAGAATCACCTGAATCTTTTGTTGCATGCTCGGTTTTTAGATGCAAGGAACTTGACTTGGTGATTTGACGCATTACAATAAATGCTGACAAGTAGAACATTTTTAAAGAAGGATAAAATGATAAAAAAGAAAGCAAGTGTTGCAAGTCAAATGAACAGCTAGTGTACCAATCCAAGAAAGTGATATTCAGTGTGCAAGTTATCCATTTGAAAATGGGTAAGTTGGCACAGTATATGGTGTAAACAGATGTGCAAAAGTAGATATAAATCCATGTTGTGGGAAATTCAATGCTTTGGTGCTTAATTATACAGTAATGCGGCATGTGGAATTTAATAATATTTCATTAGACTTCTAAACTTTTACATAATGTGAAATGGATTGTATTGATATAAGTCCTGGGTGGTTTGAGGACCAGGCACTCTTGTGACTGATGTCCAGCAGCCTTGATTGCATTTGCGTGTGCCTGTGCTTGTTTGTGTTTGTGGGGGGTGATAGGTGAAAGAATTTCGTTGGAATGGTCGGTCAGTTTCAGCAACCGTGTCAGTGTACTGGAATGTAAGTTTCATGTGTTTTGAAGGGGGGGGTCGCTGACCTGCCTCTCTCCGACCCCCCCTCCACCAGCAGATTCCTCAGCACTGACACTCCAACGGCAAAAACAACTGCTTCCTCAGATACTGAGGTGGCCCCTGTTTGTTTGCTTTGCTGCAGCTCGTAAAGTGGACAGAGATTGCATGAGTGAGGGTGCTGCGGCAAGGCCTGCTGACAGAGTAACAATGGCCCGGGAACAATGGCCAGACTCGGGCCGTCTGTTCTTGTGGAACAACCTCTCGCCTGCTCCTTGTGATGTAATGAGCATTCAGTGTGAGGAAGTGGCAGTCCTTCCCTTCTCCTGTTTGTGTCCAACCATTAGGACAGCTTTAACGGTCCTGTTGATGTCATCCCTCGCGCAGAATTCCCCTCTGATATCCTGTTTATCCAGTCTTTGTGTATCTCTCTCATTCGGTCATTGTCTCTTTCCATCCGTCTGACTGGAAACTGTTGTGTTTCCCCTCAGTGACAAAAAAAAAAAAAAATCACTGATGCCAGTCTGTGTTCTTTCATTTTCTGTTTTGTTTCTTTTATTGTACACTGTGTAAATTTCATCTGTCTGCCTTGCAGGGTCAGGCGCGTCGGAGGAAGAACATGACGGAATTCCTGGGGGAGACGAATATTCCAACCCCGGACGCTCTGGGGCAAATCGGTGGCTCTCTGCCCAGCGTCGGTGCTGGACCTGACAGCTGGAAGAACCGAGCTGCCAGTCGCTTCAGTGGATTCTTCAGCTCCAGCGCCGGAGCGGGACCCTTCGTCAAGGTAACGCTGACCAGTCAGAGGTTAAAACAGGCGAGGCAAAACTCTGCTTAAAACAGTGAAGTTGTAGGGCTGCAGGGGAGAGGTTTGTTGCCCAGACGTGTCTCAGATTAAAAACCAGTAGCTGCCATCAGTGGGAGGGGGTCAGAAGGCCATATCCCCCTGAGCCCTGGTGAAGTCATTTCCCTTCAAAGTCTCCTGACTTGTTGGCTCAACAGCAGCCCTGGAAATGAGTAGGTGGAGGAAACCTTATGTGCTCACTCAGTTCTAGCCAACGTTTTCATGACTTTATGAACTCAACATAATCACATTTCAAATAATAGAAAAAAAAGCTTAAAGGAATAGTTTTTGGAATATGCTACATGGGAAGACTGGACAACAGTCAGCTGACTTAGCAAAACATGAAAACTGGAAAGAATTAAACACTTTATGCCTTCCAGCTCCTTTTAAAGCTCTCTAGTGAAGCAAAGCAACATCTAAAAGTGCCAGATCTTTCCTTTAATTTCAGTTTTAAATAATAATAATCCACTTTAGTAATAATTAAGTAGAGGCACACGCCCGCACACACATGCCTGCCTTTGTACTCGCCGCCCTGAGGTCACAGCCTGCACAGTAGCAGATGTCACACAGAGACAGTATCTGTCTATCACTTGTCATTGCAGGGCTCATCTCTATTCAACCTGTTTGTTCTCCTTCACCCCCTCAGGGCCAGAGATCTCGCTTCAGGCCCTGCACCTCTAGCAACCTCCATATTGCAGGGTTAAACAGGCGCCAGTCATGTTGTCTCATAACTTTGGCAAGAATCTCTGATCATTTTCCTGCCAAATCTGCTGAGCAACTTCTCACTGTCAGTGAACGTTACATGAAAAAAAAATAATATCAAAAGATTCATGAACCTTAAACCATTGGTCCATTTCTTTCCCCTGTGTTGTAGCTTTCACCCCCCCTGCTCCCCTGTCTTCTATTGTTAACATGGTCTCAATGCACAGAGCTCATTTTCATAACTACGTAAGGCCTGCCAGCTTGAACAAAGACTTGAATAGCAGCTCCTGTTGGATTTAAGAATTAAGGCGCCAGTAAACAGGATTTGTATGCTAATAATACACGGACCCCCTCTTTACTTACAGTTTGAATGTAACAATGCACAGCCGCACAGAAATAAACGTCTACTTTTTCATCTCATGTTTGCCTTTGTTGTCACTAATTAGACCTGTTTTTTTTTGCTGTTTTTTTTTTTTTTGCAACTGTTCTTATCGCAGGAGGTGGATCGTCTGGAGCAGCTTCAGAGCAAACTCCACTCGTACACGCTGTTCGGGCTGCCCAAGGTACCGCGGCAGCTCTCCTTCCACCAGGACTCCTGGGAGGAGGAGGAGGAGGCGACCAACCTGGCCCTGGAGGACAGCTGGCAGATGCTACTGGACAATTCAGGCCAGGTACACACAAACACACACATTCATTTAAGTGTATACGCAGATGTGAACGTAAGATGTAATGAACACTCACAGAAAAAAAATAAGTTGCATTCATGGCAATGTTTTTTGATGTAGGCAACTTCCAGCAGTTTGTTTCGACACTGGAGGTATGAATGTTGAATTAGATAAATAGAATGCTTTATTGATCCATAAGGGACATTACATAACGTACTTTGAGCTGACATGAAGTAGGTAGCAAAAACACTCTTCAACGTACGTACATATGTGCAGAAAATGACAGTATTACATAAGAAATGAAATAGAATTCAAAAAGATTTACCATGAGATAGAACTCTCACAGTGCAAATAAAGTTGATTGTGCAAAGTCTCATCTTTCTTGCACTGAGGGGAGTCATTAGACAAAAAAGCTGGTGAAAAGCAATCTAATACAACTTAGGGACTGTGTGAACATTGCTGGTGTGGGACGGAGGTTAAACGTCATGCTTTACCTTTTTAAAAATGCAATATTTTCTTAAATCCTCTCTTTCAGTTAGTACAAACCCTGCAATATGAGAGTTTTTCTGATCAAATTCGGCCTTTGGGGAAGCTACACACAATAGTAAGCATGATCAGGGAAAATAATGAACCTGTGTTGCCTAATTTGACAGAAATCCATCCATTTCTGATCACCTGATAACCCAAAATGCATATCATGTTTGAGTAAATAAAACCTTAACAAAGCAGGTTTGAAAATGTAATTGACATTTTATTCTCAATTCTAATCATGTTGGAACATTCATATTTTTATTTATTTGTATGCTGTTTTTGTTCAAAGTGACATATATTGCACAACCTAATGACTGCACTCAGCGTTTTCATTATTTTAACAAGTAATCTGATTGGGAAAGTGGCAGTAGAATAAAAACTGTAGGTTCCCTCCTCTCATCTGACACTTCTGCTTCTTAACAATTTCCCTATGTCAGTGTTGACACTGACTAACATCTTCTGTAGTGAAATTGCCAACATGCATGCTAACATCCTGATTCTTACTTCCTTATCATTTATCTTCGGTGTGCTCACACTGGTCCCACCTTCCTGGAATAACGCTCATAAAGCTGTGATGAACTGTAACTGCCCATGTAAATGATAACAACCCACCATGCACTGTTGCTGACTCTCACCTGTTCATGTATATCTGACCAATCAGGAGTGAGCGCTCATTGCTCAGCTGCCATACAGTCACCTGTGCATTCACGCCTGATGATTAGTTACATAAGCACCATTACTGTTTTGACTGCTGAAAAAATTTCCAGTGGTGTCAGCGAATCATGTTGGTGATGTGAGTTACTGGAAAAACTTAGAACACTACCAACAAGTTATTTTTTCATACCCATTTCTTGTGGAATTATTTAAACATATTAATCAATAAACCAAACAATATGCTGCACCAGCATGCGACTGACCTGATTCAGAAATGAACAGCCTCCACATAATGTACCAATGAAAATCGAACAGTGAAAGCTGAATAAATACATGTGCCTCATAGGTATAAACATAATATAGATAGAATTTTTAAAATTTTTTTCTTTATCATATGTAACCATAAGTAAGCAAAAAATGATCATAGAGGTATTCAGTTAGAGCTCCATCCTCATCTGGAACCTGAATTCTTTTAAACAATCGTTGTCAGGAACAATGAAATAAAGGTCAGCATATCATTATTCATAATTCATGTCACCTTCATTCACCCGACTTCTTCTTTCAGCCTCAGTATGTTGTGCCATATAAGTATATTTAAATGTGTTAAACAGGAACACAAGTAACAGATTTTAAAAAAAAAAATCTTGATTACTCTATGAAATTAATGCAAATCTAGAGATATGTTTGTTGTATTTACTAATAAAATGTATCTGTTTGTTTGTGTAGACGCTGACAAAGCGGCAGTTCCACCAGCAGGAGGCAATCTGGGAGCTGCTGCACACCGAGGCTACCTACATCAAGAAACTCCGAGTCATCACTGATGTAAGAGGCTCACTGCAGTCTGCAGACACGCACACAGAGATCACATACTGCTACAAGTGTTGTGTAAGATGAACAGGCTTCTGTACTGTGATAGATAAGACACACAAGGAGCATCTTGTTAAGGTCTAAATACAGAACAGACTTTATCACATGCAGTATGTGAGAAAGTGGTGTGGTTTACTGTACAGCTGATAACCCTTGGCTTTAACTGCATCAACCTCGAGCAATTTCTGGGTTTTTTTTTTTTTTTTGCTCCTGTTACACGTCATACAAAGTCCTACACATTTATGGAAAAGACACAACAATGGCTTAAAGTAGAGAGATCAAAAAGGTGCCTTGAATCGTAAGAAAAGGAAAGAAGGAAAGAAAGTTGAATGTCTCTAATTCCATATTTATCTCATACTTGTTTCCCTCATTGCCTACAGTTCAGCTGAAATGTCCTTTTATTTTGTCATGTGAAGTTAGTAGCTGAGTCACAGTTGTGCCAAGGAGTGCAGAATATTTAGTTTTTTACAGAATCTTGTCAGTGCCAATGGTTTCCTTTTTCGTGTTTTTCAAAGGAGACACAGAATGAACGGATTTTAGTGAAATTTGAGATTTTAAGTTTAGATTTTGGCCAGGTTGTCTGATGGACACAGATGAGTAGTTCAAGGACCACTTGCAAGTTGAAGAATCTGATGATTCTTTCTGTCTTTACAATTTGTAGCCATGATAAATTGCACAACTTGGTTATATAATTTTTTAAGGATAATATGCATTTCAAACCAGGCAGGGGGTTTGGGAGTTCTGATAGTTAATGCCTTAACATCAGCTTAATTTCATGGTTTTGTTAGAATCAAAATTTCACAAGATTACATTATTTTGTGTTACCCTCTGCAGTTGTTCCTGTGTGGGCTGCTGAACCTGCAGGAGAGTGGTCTGCTGATGGAGGTCGAGCCCGCCAAGCTGTTCAGTAACATTCAGGAGATCGTCCTCCTCCACACCTCCCTATGGAACCAGGTCATGCTGCCAGCCCTGGATAAGGCCAGGCAGGCTCGGGCTCTGCTCGACCCCACTGACCTTCACCTCGGCTTCACAACGGTAAGTTGTACTTACACTGTAAATTATAAGCTGTATATCTGAACTCTACAGATCCAAATGAAGTGCGTTGTCAAGAATTTATGAACCTATGTGCAGCCCCAGCCTTAGCTACAAAAACAAAGAGATTGTTTCTCACTTTGTTTGACAAGTAGTTCAGCTAATTTAATGAGCAATTTAACAAGCTTTATATCAGTCCTACTAATATTGACTGTTTGACTGATTCTGAGTGGTTAAAAGCTGACTTGTAAGCAGTATGTTGAACATCATGGATAAAATGCTCAATAATATGGAGCCCTAAAAACACAAAAGGTCATAAAGTTATCAAGCAAGTCAAAAATGCCAATTAAAAAAGAGATACAAAGCTTTGTAATTTCACTGAATATTTAATTTAAATTAAAAGAGAAACTGTACCAGAGTTAAATTGTTTGCTGTCACGCTGATTTTGTAACATCTCTGACACATATGTTTGTTTGTGTGTGTTCAGTTTGGCTCCAGGTTCCAGCCCTACATCCGTTACTGCATGGAGGAGGAGGGCTGTATGGAGTACATGCGCACGCTTCTCAGGGACAACGAGCTCTTTAGGACCTACGTCACGGTCAGTTCTCAATGCTCTCCCGCCGTAAAGCCAGTCCCAGACACCTACAGTACACACTGTCCTGGCACGCTCATCCTTTGGTTTCTTCATATTTCTGCTGCTTGACTTCCTGTTTTTGTCTGCCTTGACTCAGTGGGGAGAGACCCATAAACAGTGTAACCGTCTGAAGCTGGCCGACATGGTGGCAAAACCTCACCAGCGACTGACCAAATATCCCCTCCTACTGAAGAGTATTCTCAAGAGGACAGACGAGCCGTCAGCCCGTGACGCCGTCAGCAGCATGGTAAGGATGTGGAGAACGTATAAAATGTGCTGCTTTTCTAGCCGACACATAGTTTGCCATGGCTTTGTCTTGCTCTGCCACAGATCAGAACAGGAGTTTATTTCTTTGTTTTTCTTCTGTAAGGTGGTGACAGTAGAGGACTTCATCAACAGCGTGGACTCTCAGATGCGACAGCGGCAGGAACAGCAGAAGTTGGCAACCATCTCTGCCCGTATAGACTCGTACGAGGCTGTAGAAGGCAGCAGCGAAGAAGTGGAGAAGGTAGGAATCAATTTATGTGGCTCCATGCTCTCAGATATGAGACTTATTGGAAAAGTGGGCTTCATGCTTTGGTCTTTTCCTACTCAGATCCTTAAGGAGTACAACCGTTTCGACCTTATGGCTCCAATGAGAGGGGTATCACCGGAGGAGACTCGACAGCTACATCTAGAGGGAGCGCTGAGGATGAAAGAGGGCAAAGATAGCAGGGTAAGAGCAGCTTACATGATTGCTTGGAAACACACGATGAGCTCTTATCTTTTTACATAACTTTATTTCTCATGTTTGTTTTGCGGTCGCCTCCCATTTCACATAAAACGGTTGACATGTGAAACGTTCTGAGTCACGATATCCTGATTCCAGTCGTAACACTGAAGCGAGCCTAAGCGCAATCCTTTGTTGACGTCCGTTGTCATAGATGCAGCTTCATCAGTCAATAATTTAACATTAATACAGATAGATAAAACTAGACATTGGACCTGTGCTGATTTAAGCTGCCTAAAAATAACACAGGCCATATAGGCAGCTGTTGTATAAATCATGAGAACACTGGAAAGTTGTCCTACTTTATCTTGGATTGATATAACACATGCGCACTAGTTGTAGGTCATTAACTGTCACAGAAGACTTTGTGCCCATTTATTAGCCAAACCCTCACCATGCTCTCTGCTTGCCAACACAAAACTGAACCCTTTCTGGTTGCTACAACATTAGACAATAAGTGGTATGTAAGTGCTACAGCTAATTGCTAATTATTATCAAGATAAATGGTATCAGGTATTGGCAGATACCAAATATTTAATGACTCGGATCGGTTCGGGGGCAAAAAACCTTGAATGAAACATCCTTAATTTGAAGTGTTATTGTCATGTCTAAAATGACTTTATCTCTCCAACAGATGGAGGTCTACTGTTTCCTGTTCACTGACCTGCTGCTAATTACCAAGCCAGTAAAAAGAGTGGAGAAAGTGAAAATTATCCGCCAACCCCTCCTCATTCACAATGTTGTCTGTAAAGAGCTCAAAGACCCCGGTGAGTGTTTGGATGTTTTGATATTTAGTTTCTAAAATTATAAAAGTAGTGATATGCTTTGTGTTTCAATGACCTAGTTTGTCCATTTTACTTATCTTTAACAGAGGAAAGCTGATGTGTTTCAGTGATTATAAATGAGCAGTTTCAGAACAAGAGAGATTATCTGCTGTACAGTTGACTTTTTATCCTCATAACACTGACATGTTGCACTTTGTTGCCCCTGTAGGCTCATTCATCCTCATCTACCTCAATGAGTTCAAGAGTGCAGTGGCAGCCTACACTTTCCAAGCCAACAGCGCCACCCAGGGGCGGAGCTGGATAGATGCTGTCTGCAACGTCCAGGTAGGAGAGCCACTTCATTAGATCTGACAGCATCCAACAAGATTTTTTTTTGTCTCTCTTAAGTTGCTGTGATAGTTTTGTTTGTGGTAAATATTCTGTTGTTTATGTGCTTAACGTGGCTGAATACTTACAGAACCAGCTGCAGAGGCTTCGTACTGAGGAGATCCTCCGGCAGCAGAACAGTCTGAAGAGATGTACGGAGGGTAATGAAGAGGAGGAGGAAGACGAAAGCAGCAATTCCACGACAAGTTCGCCATGCCTGCGGCACAAGGATCAGCTGAACTCAAGGTACGACAGCATTAAACAGAACTACAGCTCAAACTGTTGAACTATTCCTTTAAAAGGTGCCTGGCTGTAGCTCCATTTAAACTTCTGAGTTATTTTTGTCGTTATTGCTGAAGCCTAACAAGGAATTTCTCTCTTTAGTCAATCAGATGGTTCCACTGAGACCCTGTCAGTGATGGACGTTGATGAGCCCGGCGAACATCAAGAGTCTCCTGCCTCCAATGTGATCCTTGAGGAATCCACTAATAAAGACTCAGACTCTAATGTGGGTCCCTTTTCTGAAAGGCCTGAGGTCCAGCAGAACACGAGCCCCCACATAATCCACTCCAGTATTTATTCTGAGCACAATCAGGAGGCGGGGCCTGACGGTGAGGAGCTGGACCCCCAGTGTCGCTCCCTCTCCATGGACAGCGCCTACGGTACCCTGTCACCTGAATCCCTCCTGAGAGAACTGCAGCCGCAGCCTGGCCAAAGTGAAGGAGAGGAGACAGAGGAGGAAGAGGGAGACAGGGAGGGTCAGGGTGAGGCAGAAATAAAGGAGGAGGACGAGGAGGAGGAGGAAGAAGAAGAGGAGGATGCCTCTCTGGGTTCCCAGCTGTCAGTAGTCCAGTCCTCCTGTAAACCTCGGCGGCGGCCTCACGTTCAGTCGCGCCTCCACTGCCTCCAGAGGTTGTCCTCTCTAAAGTTGTCCCGCTCTGAGGACAATCTCCTGCAGCGATTCCACGGTAAAACTCCCATCTCCCACACACACTCGCTAAGCTCTGAGGCTCAGGACCAATCACAGTGTGTGGACACGTTGCTGGCACACAGTAGGAGCCTGTCAGAGCTGGGACAAAAGGTCAGGGAGGTGATTTCCAGTGAACTCAACCAATCTGACGACTGCTTGAGCATGACCTTGCCCTCTGACAAACTCAGTGTCGCCCCTGCTGGACCATGTGAGGGTAATGAGTCCCCAAACAACAGCTCAGATGGGGAAACAGCTCCATCTGCCAGCCTAGATAAGAAATGCAAGTCAAGGGCAACAAGTGATTCGGAGGAAACGTCACCTGCAAAGAGGAAATCTCCAGCCCAGCAGCACAAGAAGCTGACACTAGCTCAGCTGTACAGGATACGCACCACTCTGGTCCTCAACTCCACACTGACGGCATCGTAAGTTGTTATTTCTATAACACCAATCTGCAGTTTTTTGCACCCTAACACAAAGTCCCAATTCGATACCATTTACCTAGACAACACACACTTAAAGTACATTAAAGTTAACAGAAATGAATCCAACATATGTGCTTGGCAACTGAATATCTCTGCAATCTTTATAGAAAACAATCTATCCAATCTTCCTTATTGTTACATAGGTATCCCGGTCAGTTCTGTGTCGACCCAAAGCATGCATCCACTGACTAAAACACTAACATCAGCACAGAACGAATGTCCACTGTGCTCAATTATTGGTTGATGAAGCTGCTGATTTTAGATTGTGACATCCCTAAATACAGTTAAAGGAATATTTTCTTGCCAGATGAGAAGACTGGTACCTTTCTCATATCTGTATGCAAAATATGAAGCTACAGTTGGTTAACTTAGCATAAAGGCTCTTAACCGGGGAACATAGCTAATGGACAGAAAAAGGCCACAAAAGATCCTCCATAAAAGTGGAACTTTGAAGAAACTAGACTGAATGTGTTTATTAATAGGTGACAACCTTGCACAGCACCAGGTTAGTTGTGCCACTTTGTTTTCAGTCTTCGTGCCACGTTAAGCTAACCAGTTGACATGAAGAAAATGTTATTAAATGTGGTTGTAGATTTAGCATCGCTACTTAAAGGAATGTAAGCATTAATATTGTATTTTTCTTTTGTTTTTCAGGGAGGTGTAACCTCATCGTCTGTCCAGAGGCATGCAGACATTACAAGGAACAACACACTTGTTTTTTTTTTTTGTTTTTTTGTTTTTTATGAGGATGGACTGAATTATTTGAGACATGAATGCACTCTCTCTCTTACTGCTCTCTCCCTTCCTGTTGGTTTTTTGGACAGTGACTGTACNTTTTTTTTTTTTTTTTTTTACATTTTGACAATAACAATCCCTTTTTGTGTTTTCTTTTTTTGCTGTTGCATTGGTTTCCGAATTTCTCAAAACGGAAGGGAGAGGCAGAGAGACACTAACTGCTTGCACTTTGCAACAGAAGTAGCATTTTGGGGGCTGGGACCTTAAGGTGGACTTGGGGAGTGTTAACGGGATGGACCTCCTGCCCCTGCAGAGAGAGCAGACATCCGGGCAGAGGCCTCCAGACCTCGACCCTGCACTCTAGAGGAGGTGCAGCTGAATCCTGCACCTCCTTTCTCTCCTGACTTGAAGAGAGGGACACCAAATCTTGAAAATGCTCTCTACACATGGCTAAAAACATAAGATAAAGACAGAACAGCACCTGGGACGACCTCCTGATACTTGTACTACTCCTGGTTTGCTTCAACAAAAGAAAAAAAATGAAAATTGCACAGTTATCGTTGTTAAGTAGAAGAATCACTAAAAGGGTGAACTTTACATTTACAGTCACACAATGAATTTGTTGTTTGTGTTTGCTTGTGTACAGATGTATGAATGTGTGTTTGAATGATATGTGCTCTTTGATTCCTGACTGAACCAAAAAACCAATCCCCATCTCCCATGAACGTGCTAATGCACCCAAAGACGGAAGACCTGTGTAGCCCAAAGACAAAACAGCTGCGTCACCACAGAGATGGACTTCTGCTGCCTTCAAATGGAACTTGCAAGCTTTTGATTACTATTTGGGAAAGTTGTGCACATGAAACACTTGGTGCTCAAATGGTGGCAGAAGTTGTGATAACACCGCTGCTAAGAAACAGCAGTATGGGTGTTACTGTCGGCTTCTAGAAGCCACTGTGAATACAAATTTAATGAGCTAATTAGTGGGAAATGCAAACGCACAATGAAACGAGGAGGCTGCTGGATATACGAACATTCTCCTGAGACAGTATAATAGATTGAATTACAATATATTACCTGACAATCCACTGAAATATGAACTTCTGTGCCATTTCTAAAAAAAAATGCCAGCATACATGACTCCATTTGAAGGTAGCATTCCTTCTGTAAGTTTTTGATTGGTATGTCGAACTAGTGACATGTTTCAGATAAAAGAATAAAAAAAGACTGAATATGGATGACTAAAGCTGTTTTGTGGAATTTCCTGCACTATATATATTTTGGCGTGAAGCATAAATGTATTAATACTATATGTGCAAGTGCACAAAGCAGAACTGGGTCACAGGAATGAAAAAAAAAAGTCTACACTTGTCTGCGTTTCTCTGCCATTAACAGGTTGAAGAAAAAGGTTTGGGGTGAATATTTTGTCATGAGTGAATCTGCAGAGCTTTGGCTGAACAGCTTTCACCAGGAGATTTAAAACAAACAAAAAACTTAACATTCATACACTGACGTTTGGCTTTTCACATCAGTGATTATTAACCTTACTCCAAACATTGCCCAAACCAAATAGGTTAACTTTGTTTACTTTTAGTTTTTTTTTTGTTTATGTGTAATATTTATTATGCCTGCTATGTTTTATATATAAGATATTGTTTATATTGTTCGCTTCCATGATTTGTAAATTTTTTTTTTCTTTCTTTGTCGATGTAGTCTTAATATTTTTTTTTCTTGCCAGGCATTAATGTGCTATGAACCAAAATCATGTGTTTCCTCTTTCAGGAATGACTAAAGTGTCTTACGAAATAAAATAATCAAAAAAAAAAAGCTAAAACACTTTACAATCCCTCTTTTAGTGGTTTAATCCAATGTAATGGAGTGATTTGAGGTGAGATGCTGAAGCTAAATGGCATCGCATTAAACAACATGAACCGGTCGCACTACTCTCGTGTTTTTAACGCAGACAGACAGCAGGTGGCGAAAGAACGTTTGGGGCCAACCAGAGGAATTACACCAGAGAGGTCGTGATCATGTGTAGGAGTAATTCATTGTTTTTTATGTCACATTGTTAAACTGAACCTGTTGCTCTGCGTCAGAGCCTCTGTGGAAGAAGCAGTGAGATGTCTAAGTAAAAGTAGCAACAACGCAATACAAAAATACACCATTACATGTACACAATTCTGCATTCATAATTATACTAAAGGATTTCAAGCAAAACTCTCTCTCTCTCTCTATATATATATATATATATAAGTGACTTTAATGTTTAGGATGGTTGAGGAGGAACAGACTTTAACTGTATTTTTCACTGCTAGGCGGTTTATTCGTAGGTATAGTTTAGAAATGCATGTTGAGCTTAAACATTCAGACAACTAATTGCACAAAAGTATTCAAAACCTTTTCCCAGCTCCCACATGTGAGGATTTGCTGCTTTGTGTAGATCCTTGTTTTCTGAATATTTTATAATGAGAACTTTAAATACCTCATCTTACAGTAAAATCCCAACTTTCAAAGTAACTACAGCTGTAAAATAAATGCAAAAATGAACAAACCTAAACCTTGAGCAGCTATAACATTAAAATCGTCAGTCATAATAATCCAGAAAGATGAGATATAACACCGACAGCAGATAATACTTTACACTGATATGAATGTAGGATTACTTGTAAAAAAAATAAAATAAAATAAAATAAAATAAATGTTTTTGCATATGTAACTCTTAAACATGACATTTGTTACAGTAAAAGTAGAAATATAATGATGTAAAATATTGGTCTCAGTCAAAGGCCTTCATTAATAATATTACCAAAGTAAAAGTAGTGAAATATTTCAAGAGCATCAGGCTGTTATATGTTATATTAGCGCATTGCTATTTTAATGTTGAAGCTGGTAAAGATGGAGATAAGTTCACAATAATGCTATTTTATATACTGTTCTATAGTAAAGCTGCAAAAATAATCTCTAAAGATTCATTCTGTAATAAATATTAAACAACTTTAATTGTAATTATAGTAGTTGAGTTAATGTTAAGTAAAAGTACAGTATGTGGTGAATATAAGAAATATTCAAAGTACTAATATTTAAAAATTGCACAATACCTCAGTAAATGTGCAATATGAGGTTTTCAGATACTTCTTATGAATTCAGGAGTACTTGTAAAGAATGTGAGCAGTTTTGCTACGTTTACTTGAGTAATACTTGTTCAACAGAGTATATATACATTTTAGTGGTGAAACATACATCTTGTTTTCCACAACTTTGCACAAAACAATTATTAGGTGTTATGGTTTAGGAAATATTCCAAACCTTGATTTCAGTACAGTTTTGTGTGCAGGACTTTCACCTGCAACAGGAATATACTTTATATTGTTGTAGTTCTGCTTTTAAAATAAGAAGCCTTAGAGGCAAAATGTGCTAAAGTATCAAGCATTTGTTGTGCAGAGTGAATCCTTCAAGAGCATCCTGCTTTCAGATATTGTTTTTTAAATTATTATTTTAATGTTGATGTTGAATGTAGCTGATAAAGGTGGAGATAGTTTATGTTAGTACAATTTATATAGACTTGTACAGTGAAGCTAAAAGATGCATAGTACTTTTTAAAGCTCATGTCAGTGTTAGTTTGTCTTTAATGTAAAATATGAATGTTAATAGGAAGTGGAGCTGCCAACCAATTACAGTTAAAAAAAATAAATAAATAAAAAAAGTTCAATACTTCAAATACCTATTTCTGCTTAAAGCTGCAATGCAGTGTTTTAGAAATCCTATTAGAAGTAAAAGGTTGCCAAAGTGCTGCTTCAAAGCACTTGCGTTTAAATGATTTTGGGTTATTTAGAGTCAAAACGCGTTCATCTGTTCATTTAGATTCTGGGAACTCGGATCACATATCGAGTCCAGCTGTCTGTCTGGGCCGACCGTCTGCCTCTGGCTTCCAGAAAGTTCAGCTCAGTCAAATCTGAGCAGCAAAGTGTCCGACACACATGTGGGACATCAGAGCGGGACCTGATGGCCCGGACTAACGTCATAGCCAAGGTGTATTTACAGGTGATTATATCAGCTAATCGGTGGATTACAGCATGTTGAGTCCACACAAGCCCCTAAGCTGCAGGGAAAAGACAGTGTGGTCCCGTGGGATTTTCTGTTTAATCTGGCCCCAGAACGCAGCGGCCCCTCCCGTTCTCACATCTGGCCCGTCGGATTTACTGTTGTAATCCTTGATTTTAAAACAATTTTATTATGCCTTACCGCTGATATGCTGGACTTTAATTATTAAAATGCAGCTTTCTATTTTAGCAGCGGAGTAATTACACATCCTTGTTCTATTAGCCTCTACTAATGAGGTTGTGCTACAGTTAACCATCACCCCATGATGGCTGCAGGCCGGCTGCCTCCTATAGATTAAAAAAAAAAAAAAGAAAAAAAAGATTGCTACTTTGCACCCACAAGCACAGAGCATTTAACCGCCACCATCACGTAAAGGTGCTAAAATGAAACTACAAAAGAAACCTGAGTAAAGAACCAAATTGTGGTTCTTTTCAGAGTAGAAAGTGACAAAAATCAGTACATATATAAAATGAACACTTCTCTACATGAATGTACGCCACATGCAGCTGGGGCAGTGCAGGGTTAACACCACTTGCTGTGGCAGATGTCAAAAACCATGCTGTAAAAAATGTCTGATTAACACAAAGGGGCACTTTGGCAAATCCTGATTATAGGAGCACTTTCATTTATTAAACTCTGCCAATCCCCTGTACTCTTTCTGAGCGGGGATTAAAACCAGGTAGACACCATTGTCTATCTAAACAATCCCTCTTTAAGCTCTCGCTGTTTCCCGGTGCCCCGGACAGGCCTGGCTGGCTGGCTGGTTGCCTGCCTGTAATCTCAGTAGGGGCTTATAGGTCACTACTACCACTACACATTCCCATTCATCAACATCATCCCCTTTAAAGGGGACTAGGTGATTGGATTTAGGACATGTTTTACAGGGGCAGAAAAAAAGAGAACAGCAAACTGAAGCGTGTTTACAAGCGCTGTGCTGTGAAAAGGCCCAGGGACGAGTGGCGGCCATATGGAATGGATAACCCTGGGAACATCTGCCCTCGATCACAACCACGCAGTGCCATTAGACTGGTGGCTGTGACCTTCACATGGGGCACAGAAACATCTGGCCCTTTTCTGCTCTCATGGACCCCTGAAAAACGCATTAGGCAGACAAATAGCTATAAAGGCGCCCATATGGGATTCGTTGCAAAGAAGTAATGAGGGAGAGGACGGGGTGCACTGTGAGGAGCTGTAGGCTAGTCAACTAATTTTACAAATACAACAGGACAGCAGATAGGGTCGCGGGAAGGCTGGAGCCTATCCAGTTGACTTAGGGTGAAGGCAGGGGACACCCTGGACAGCTCACCAGACAGGTCACCAAGCACACTCACATTCACACCTACGGACAATTTAGAATCACCAATTAACCTCAACATGTTTTTGGACCATGTGGGAGGAAGCCGGAGAACCTGGAGAGAACCCACACTGCACGGCGAGAACATGTAAACTCCATGCAGAAAGATGCCAGGCATCCTAACAGGGACGCGAACCGGCAACCTTCTTGCTGCGAGGCAACAGTGCTAACCACCAATCCACCTTGCACCCTGTGTACATCATGTTATATGAAGTTTCCAAGAGGTGAGATGAGATAGATTTCTATGAAGAAATTCTACAAATCTATGTATTTTGTCATAAAAACGATCACGCATTTTAGTTCTTTCATACGTTTATTACAGGTCTTTTGAACACATGACAACATCTGTGGGTATAAAAGAATATGTACAGCAATGCTAATATTTAGTCTAACGTCCCTTGGCTATTTTGAAATCAGCTAGCTGTTTTTGGTAGCCGTTCACAGGCTTCTGGTTGTATTTTTGATCAACTAAACATGTCGGCTTTCTGACACAGAAACAGCCAACAACCCCAGAGCATAATACTGCCACCACCATCCTTGACATTAGGTATGGTGTTCTTGGGGTTAAAGACTTTACCTTCTACCCTTGAAACACATTGCTGGTCACTGTGGCCAAATAACCCAAATAAGCTTCTTCCGACCACAGAACTTTCCTCCTGAAGGCCTTTTCTTTGTCCATGTGATCAAACTTCAATCGAGCCTTCAGGTGTCACCTCTAGAGGAATGGCTTTCTTCTTGATCGGCAGCTTCCCACCCCATAATCATATAAAACACTCTTGACCGTGGACACTGACAGCTGTGTTACAATTCACTGCAGACCTGCTTTTTGGTTATTCTTAGCTGACTCAGCAGCAGATGATACTTTGTGTTTTCTTCCTGATTGTGGGAGTGACACAACTGCACCATGCGCTTTATACTTACAAACAACTGTTTGCACAGATGATGTTGAGATCTGTACCTGCTTTGAAATATTTCCAAGTGACTTTCCAAATTTGCTTTTTCAGATCTGTGCTGAGCTCCTTAGACTTTCCCCTGGTAGTGTTTGTGGCTGAGTCTACTGAGTGTTTTAAATGGGCCCTAATTAAATTAGGTCAGAGGAGTCAGCAGCTCTAGTCAATAGTAGTTACTCATGAGAAGGTCAGAGGTCATATAACTAAGACAATTTCAATAAGACAACTTTCTACATTACCAAAACTGATAATTCAAGTTGCTGTATGTAAATATTGTATGCAGTAGATGTTGTTCTATTTCCAGAAGACTTAGAATGAACCTTTGAGAGAAGCAAACTGCATGATTGTTTTTTGTGACTAAGTGCTTTTAATGACTCTACAAATTCAGAGTTTGGTAATTTATTTATATATACATATAGCTATATATATACCTAAGTAAAGGATCTGAGTCCTTCTTCAATGCTGGTCTGTTTGGACGCCCTCAGAAATTACTCTTTTTTTTGTTGTCCACACAATCCCCAACAGCAGCAAGGTGATAAATGCATTGCCAGCTGCTCCCCGGTGGCATAAATTCATTCCACAAAGACGTGGCATATGCTAGAGGATCAAATTTCTTTATCCTCGTAAAAGTTGTGTTGTTTTCTAAATTGAAAGAGCATAAGGTCCCACTTTCACGCGACAACATAAACTCCTCACCTCAATAATTGTATCAGCGTATAAGAAGCTTACTGTAATTACAATATTGTCTTCTTAAGGCGGCAGCCTAGAACATGAAATACAAATCAGTCATTTCTAAATTAAATGGAAACTCGTTCGAAGAGAAGCAATACTAGAGGAGGACAGAGGGATTAACATGTAAATCCAGCACATTTAATATTTACAGCGCAATCACACAATTAATCTGACAATGTGTTCTGTGTTTAATACCTGAGCTGACTGGTCCTCCATCTTTATCAGGGGTGTACACAGGAGGGGGGGCAGTCACTGGTTTACAGTTTGTGACCCAAATGCAATACATCACACGGTGTGCACCTTAGCAAATGACTAGTTTTATTTTTTAAAGCACTTTGAGTTTATTCACCTTCACTGTGGAGACTGTAGTTTGTAGAGCTCTGTGTAAGTTCAAATAACTGGCTTCTAAAACTGCATTAAAAAAAACAACAAAGCTCAAGATGTTGATCATGTATTTACCCAATTATATTAAATAAATAAATAAAAAATGTTTAATTCTTCAAACTGACTTACTGTTAAGTACAAATGCCTTCAAACTGTAATTAGTATATTCAACAAACCAATTAAGATAGTAGTTCATTTTCAAAGCCATTTAAAAAAATTTATTATTCAGTTAAGTACAATAACCTCAAAATTGTACTTGTTATTCATCAAAACTTTTCTATACTTTTACTTTTTCAGAACAGTAGATGGTTAGATGGGTAAAAAATTTAAGGAAAACCCTGAATCCTTGATCCCTACAGTGAGAGGATGCACTGACTCTGTTATGCTGTGGTGCCCTTTTGTTGGCATGTTTTGGATCCACGTTCCCCTTGAACATTTATTACACTCCATTACAAATATGCATCCTCCCTGAATGCCTAGTTGTTGCTATTGCACTAGTTCTCCAATCCGTGTGCACTTGAAGGACTCCATTCCTTAGGTACCTGGTAAATTGTATCTACGTCTTCCACACTTCTTGCACACTTCTGCAGAGTTTTTGCACTAATGCCCATTTAGCATAGTTGAAGTGTCCATGTAGACACAAATTCGGTGCTGCACGCAGACATCCACAGAATGCTCCACTGATACTGTCACAGAATTGGAGACAAGATGCAATTTATGTCAAGCGGGCCTTAAGATGCAATTCATGTCTTCCATGTTTGCGTGTCTGCGTGAATCCCTCTGTAAACATCAACATTTTTGACCATGCAGTCTGTCTACTCTGCAAATGGGGCTTAAGACAAATGCTTATAAGGAGAGACACTATGAGGAGATTCTCCAACACCCATACCTTTATAACTGATCATTAAATGAGCTGTAATTGAAATAGTCTCTGCAGGACTTTGGAGGTTCTTTGATTTATAGCCATGTGCTTTGCATTAAAGTTCAAAATTCTCCAGAAATCCTGTGCACTGCAGGAATAATCAAAGTGACATGATGCTACAGCCCAATCCTGCAAAAAGTGCATTCTTTCAGAAACCTGCATGGGAGCCCCATGTGTTTTTATGTGTTTGACATGAGAAATGCAAATGTCTGCAATAATAGAACTGTGTGTGTGTGGACCGTTTGCTTAAAAGTCTGCCTGGTCTGCACATGAGGATGCAGAAACCATGAATTGGCCCTAATAAATCCTTGCATACTGGCAGAGACGTAAAGTATAACACTGACCTCAGAGGGAAAGGTCACTGCAAATCTATACAAAGTTGCTCTAAGTGATAGTGTTTATCCTGTGATGACACATTTCTGTCCTGATGGGAGTGGTCTTGTCCAGGATATTAGAATCCAGAGGGCATGAAGGGGTCATAGTTTAATGAGGATTAAAATCATGTGAATCATATTTTACAGCCTTCACAGTCACCAGATCTCATCCCAGCAAACATCAACAAAAACACAAGTGGGGGAATATTTTTTCCACCCCTCCAGTAAAGTTCCAGACACTTGAAGAATCGACACATATGTGTACTAAAGGTGTTTTGGTGACACATGGTGGCCTTTCACCTTACTAAGACCCTTCATGTTGGTTTTACTTTATTTTTCCTTCAGTTTTTGCACCATCTAATGTTAGTGAAAGCACAATACACTAATCAGTGTAAAAACAAGCTGATGGCAATCTCCACTTTGAGTTCAAGATGAAAAAGGTACAATACTTTGTTAAAATTTATGGTTCAAACTTGTTGAGTTATGCCCAATAACACTTGTAGTTTAACATGACATATAAATTTGACAAATGTTAGCAAAAACAAGGTATTTACAAGATGCAACCCATACGAGGACATTCCCCCCCGAAAAAAAACACTACTCTGTGTTCAAAGACAAGGCTTAATTTTGATGCTTATCGGGTCGTACTAATCCAAAGAGGTGGAGAAATCAATTTGGTCGCTGAGCCTATGAGTAATTTAGTGGGAGTACCACATAAAATGAATTTGTACTTGTTGCCTGTCAGCAGGGACAAGCTCCAGACATCTACCTGTAACTCTCCACCCGGGTATATATACATCACACACAAAAAAAGAAAAAGTCATGCATTTTGGATTTTTTTATAGATTTATTATAGGTCTTCTGGAAATATGACAAAATCTGCTTGGTCACAAATATACACACAGCAGTGCTATTTGGCTAAATGTCCTTTGGCCATTTTCACCTGAACTGGCTGCTGTTGGTAGCCACCCGCAAGTGTCTAACAAATTTCTGGTCACATCTTTGACCACTCCTCTTGACAGAATTGGTACAGCTAAACTAAATTTACTGGCTTTCTCTACTCTTTTCTGACATGTTCTTGATGAAGTTTAAGTCACTATTTTGGTGAGTCCAGTCTAAAACCTTAACTGTAGACTGATTTAACCATTTCTTTACCACTTTTAATGTGTGTTTGGGGCCATTGTCTTGTTGAAACACCCAAGTGATCCAGTCTTCTGGCTGATGATTTTAGGTTATCCTGTAGAATGCTGAGGTAATCCTCCTTCTTGATTATTTCATGTACTCTGTGTAAAGAACCAGTTCCCTTGCAGGAAGTGCAGAGAGACAGCCCCAGAGCATAATACTACCACCGCCATGCTTGATAGTTGAGTATGTTTACTTTTAATTAGTGAAGTACATTTGCCTAATTATACTTATATACTTTTTTTTCCCTTTTTTTTTTTTTTTAACAGGATCTTTACTTGCATGTAGTGGAGCACTTCCCAGAGCTGTTACTCCAGTCCGGGATGTGAGTCCTGATGCTGGAGGCTCCAGAGTGAAGACTGGAGTCTCTAAAGGGTTAACAGGAGGAGGCGCAGCAGCGGTCAGCTCGTCTGGGTGGAGTGAAGTTTAGACATGTACTATAACAAATTAGCCAAGAGGAGAGCTCCATGGCAGAGTGGAAAACACTCAAAGAATTAAAAAACACAAACATCCGAAGAAGACAAAGACGAACCAACGGCGGCCGGTAAAGACGCTCCAAACACCGCGCGGAGAGATGAGTGATGTGACTGAAGAGTCGCTGCTGGATTATTTCTACTCGGCCGGAGGCAATTCAGGCAGAGTGAGAAACGCAGACATACTGAGGACATTTAAGCCTTTTATTGGCCACAGTGACCTGCAGCTACGCGGTAAGTGGCGAACTGGTTGCATCGCGGATTTAACGCGGTGGAAACGTTTTAGGCCGAAGACGCGCAAATGTAACGTGATGCGGCATCATGAGCGCGCTGTGGTGTGAGATGGCAAAATATGAGGCGACCTCGTGTCTCTATGACAGTCCTCATCTTTACACTAACACACATCCCTCCGAGTCTGCTTTAACACTCGGCTTTTACGCGCTTTCATTGTCTCTGTTGCACTGCACGCATCTGGTTTGCATTAAAAAAAAAAAAAAAAAAGCCCCTCCAAAGACTTGGAGCAGGAACTGTGTCATTTCCTCCCTCAGGCCAGTTGGTAACGAAACACGGGAGCTGAACCAACCCATCACCAAAATATGTCACCATGCAGAGTCACATGAAGGCCCTGTGGCCCCCTCATACTGAGAGAGATCAGTCCAACTGAGCCCAGAACCACTTTCTGTGCTGTTCCTCTCCACCCACCAACTCTACACACACTTATGCAATCCTGTCCTGAATCACTAGCAGCACACCACAACTCTTCTCATATTTGACTTTTACTGACAAATGTTTTTTGGTTGTGTAACCCTCTCCTGGGTCCGCCAAGATAAAACTGTACAGTCTGTTTCAACAGGCCTGCCAGAAATCTAACTTTAAGGATAGTTTATGGCTGTTTAGGGAGAAGAAATAACACAATTGTCTGGTTAGAAATAGAAAAAATACAACTTATGAGACATAATATGCACTGTTTGCTTTGCTCCATACACTGAAGAGTCTGGTCTGGCGTTTCACAGTATAAAGGCCAAAAAACTCTCTCATGAGAGATTTTGCTGTTTTCCTTCATCTTGAAAATTAAACATCTTACTGTTTTTGGACAAATCAAGACATTAAAGGAGACATACTGGAGTCCAGTGTGGTAGACATTTTTCACATTTGTCTGACAAAGTGTTGAGCAATATGGTTGTTTCAGGGCTCATACCAATAATGAGTAATAAAGGAATCTAATAACTAGTATTTTAAACTAATACACATGTGCAATGAAAAGAAAGTTTTGGTGACAAACTGTAAAACAAAAAATCAATGAAGTGACTTTTTAAAAAATATATGTAGCATTTGTTTTGATTATCCTACAGTAGCTGTGTTGCAATATAATTGTCAAGAAATGGTGGGGAAAAACTAAAATTATATATATATATTTTCTAATACATGCTATGCAATTAAATTAGGTTGCACAGTGTCATTAGAAGGTGATGCTCTGGCTGCTATAAACCATGTAGAGGAAGCTGGAAACTGAACCAGCTGTTTGCCAACCTCTTAAAAAAAAAAAAAAACTTTTGCCATGTAAGAGAGAAAATTGGAGAGATGGCATGAGGAATTATTTTCAAATTTGAAAATTGCAATTATTCTTTTATGTCAGCTGGTATCAGCCATGTTTCATGCGGTCCAGAGATGAAGACAATGGAAGAAGTGGAAACAGCTGATCAGTCTCGTGAATTAAATATTTGTGACATCAAAACTTAGTTAGGAAAGGGTCTTTTCATCTCCCAAGAAGTGCATTAACTCTTTTACAAAAAACATCAAAAGATTTTCTGATTTTGCGGTTTGCATTTACTTTTTCTACTTCATTATATTTCAAAAACCCATAAAATACAATATGAAAACATGGCTGCCAGTCAAACATATGTGTGTAGAACACATAGAAATGTTATTTACAGCTGTAGCAACATATGTAGTGTTGTATAATTGACATTACAGAGAGAATTACATTATAGAAGTATCTCAGCAGGAGACACACTAGTTGTTTCCTGGTTGGAGGACCAGATATCGTTTTATAGCAGTTTAAGGAAACTATCATATCCATAGCGACAGCCACCAAAATGAAAATAAAGCCTCTCATCTCCAAAACCCTTTCAGCACAAACATCATAATGAATGCGGTGAGACAGTATCAGGTTCTCTTATTACATGCAACTGAAACAATAAATGCGTCTCCTGGTAGCGTGTGTTTACCGTTTGTTTTACTTTTAGAATTTGAACTTTTGTGGAATGAAATCTTTATCCAGCAAGTATGTTTACTTGGCACAAGGAATTTGACTCTGGGTCAAGCGTCTCGTACATACAACAGTGTTCAGGGAGAAATGCACATCGATATACAAAACGTGGACAACAAAGCTGCACAGAGATCCCGAACATAAACCAGCCGGTTAGATTTATACATTTATCAGACGCAGCTGTTTCTGTAGATTGTATACAGGTAGAACAGGGATGTGAGTGTGCAGGGAGTGTTGGAATAAATATTTAAGGGATAGTCAAATAAGCTACTTCATAAACCAGTGAAATGCAACTCAACTAGAGAACTGTCTTAAAGCAGGCTCAGTAATGGTACACAAGGGTCCACAGGAGTGTTTTTGAAGGCGAGGTGTTGCGCCGCTTCCCACCATTAGACACCTGATGGACGTAAGACTAGATAGTGTCATGTTGGATGATTGACAGGAGCTCTCTGAGATGAAACCAGTACAGGCTACATCATCCTGCAACAAACACTGTCTGCACCTGGTGGCATGAGAGCTTCACATGTAGGCTGTCTGCTCCTGGATTTCAAACGAAACCAACAAGGTTGATCATTTGCAAGTGTTCAATTATATTACGAAATGTGTTTTGGAAATCATTTGGGGTGAGAAATAAGCCACACAGTTGCTGAATCTGTCTCAAAAACGTTCCCCAAAGATTCCAGAGGCTTCAAGTGACAGCCCCTGATTTGCAAAGAAGTAGCCTCAACTTCAACTTTATGCAAATGAGGAGCAGGAAACACGGCCTCCCATCTTTCGAAACACATGAAACTACTAGAACGCATTGCACTGCTGCTTACACAGACAGTGAACTAGAGCGTTGAAGTGACACATTAGCTGTTTGCTAACATTAACCACTTAACGCTGCTGATCACATCAGACCACATTAAGAGTTTTGTTTTTTTTACCTTAGCAATGTAGCAATGTATTTTATGGCTCAGAAATTACATTTTTATTCGCAACAGGAGGTTAAAAATATTCTTCTTTCAAAAGTAGTGTCATGCAGTTTTCATTTATTTAATAATTGGCAGTTGTTGTTGGTAGGTATACCTTATAACCTGGAAGCAGAGAGACACATCCTGGTATAACCCTTAAAAGATAAAGCATCCATAAGGGAATAATAATGAAATGTTTGTCGCTGAGTTGCAGTTTTGAGCTCGTACTGATGTTCCCGCTCAGCAGTGCCTTCTTTACCTTTGGCTCTGTCTGTAATACAAACATATTTTAACCTCCTCCAATGATTATCCAAAGTGACCTTGCGTTGCAGTTGCCAGCATGTTCCGTCCAGATGCCATGTCAGCACTGCAGTTGTTGACAGAGGTTTAGAGAGCTGCCCTGATACTCTGCCATCTGACATGGCCGTCCAATTAGAAAAGTGCTTCCCACACATTTAAAGTCTGTCGTAGCATGTGGTCGCGGCTTTTCATGTCGTAATTGTGATGATAGTGTTTTAATCATAATTAAGTCCACATGCATGACTGGATGTGGAACTCTAATGGGGGCGCTTTTTCATCAGATCGCCAAAACTGGGGCATGGTGGGAGGTGTAGTGGTGCTCAGGGTGGGGAGGAGGTGGGGGACGGCTGCATGTACATGTGTGTGATTGTGCGAGTTGCTTGTTTGTGCAGACCTCTGGCTAATAAATAACTAACACATATGCTATGCTACTCTACGGAGCAAACTGAGGAATTCTGTTGTTGGGGCAGATGTAAGTGGTTGCTTCCTTTGGATTTCCTGTTGTTGGAACTGTCTCAATGTTCTTTCCGTCCACATCAGGAAGAGGAAATGCTTCAATTGTCCCGAGCTGCATGCCAATGCACACCTAGGCATGAATGGAATACCTACGCCTGGAAAATGTGCTTGCGTAGGCGTCCTTGATATCTGCTCACTGGTGTAAACAAAGGGCTGAAGTCTGATGGGTTTCGTCATCTGTAGCAAAGAGTCACTCAGGTTGTTGCCTTAAGGGACGCACCAAGATCTATTTGGATCTTTGCTCAGATTGGAGGGGAACATATTTCCTCTTTAGATGAAAGATTGTTGAAGTTTTTCTCTTGCAGTGTGAGCTGCAGGGTCAACCTGACATACACTGGTGGGGACCTCCCTCCTCGTACTTCTGACTTTAGATGAAGTAACAGAAACCTGCAGCTCATCCAACAGACTGTAGCTCACAATCCAAACATCATATCTGCATGCTTAAAAATTGTCTGGACTCACCAAAAAGAAATAATGCAGCAGTTTGCATCAGTCTTTTTGAGAGATAAAAACTTCTAATGAAATTATGTTCAACCAACGCACTACTTTGAGTTAGGGAGATTCATTTTTCCTCTACAATCAAAGCTGTTTTTAATGAGCAGTGTTAACCTCCTAACAGGGACCAGGCAAGTTTAGTATGTGTAGAAGAATTTAAGCCATCAAGCCAATTTCATTAAGTCATTCCATCACAAGTAATCATATTTTTAGAACGTTTCTGCTTGATTAACTCTCATTACTGGACATTTTTGTGCCATAAAATATGGATATTTATAAAGCTACTTGTGAAACTTTGCATTGATATAATAAATACTTTCTGAAAACATACATACATACATACATAAATAAATACATAAATACATAAATAAATAAATAAAAAGCCTAGTTAACACCCTTTTAGCATGTTTTTTTTTCGTACATTGAAATATTAAAGATAAATGAAACATTGATTTAGAATCAACTTAAATATATTTTTAAAAACCGAGGCCGTCATGAACAGTTCCATCTTTGAGTAGTAGTTTAAAAACTGTACCAGTGAAAATGTCTGGCTTTTGTCTTTATAGTTCCTAAGATACTGTCACCAAAACACAAAACACAAACAAAACAATCAATAAAATTTCTCAGATCCCATTTTATATATTAAAAGTTTAAGATTAAAAAGTTTTAAGCAGAGATGGTTGAGCAGAAGGCCATTTATGATCTGAGATGGAATAACCCTCGACTTAAGTGTTAAATAAACTAATGCAGAAATTTAAATATAAAATTCCACTCAATATTAAGCTGGTGCAAGTACTAACAATATTATGTCAACTCAACCTATCAAAATAATGTTTGCAACTTGAAAGGTTTGTCTGAATTAGCAAATTAAACTTTTTATTTTGCAACAATGTATTTAATTACATGGAGGGAATATGTTCCTTGTATTACTTTTTAGAGCTTCGTTCAAACAGACACATTTTCGCTGCATCTCTATCTGGAAATATTAATCAGCTTTTACTGCAATTATTTACTATCTATTGTACAAGCCATCTTGAGGTGTTCTTCTTTTGTTCGTGCCTATTCTTGCCACCCACATAGCAAAGCTCAGTTTGTGCCATTTTCTTTTATCCTTATTTGACTTTTTGAGTTTTGGAACCACTTGTATGACTCACTGTTTAAAAAAAAAAATTGAAGCTATATTTAGGTTCCAGTTTTTCACCTCAAATATTTTCCTCTGCAGCTAAATACAGAGAGGAATTCAAGCTCATCATTGACCGGATCGCTGTGGTTAAGTCGGAGAACGTAAGTAAACGGTTCAAATATTTCTACCTTTTGTGGGAAAAGCTGTGCTCTCATGGATTTTCTAGTCATATTTCTACACTGAGGCATCACCAGCTAAAGTGTTGTTAATATAATAAGTTCAGTTAAACTGTTGTGACTGAACACAGAGTTGGTATATGTGGGGTTTTTTTTTTGTGCCTACTGGTTTCCCCCAAGAGACAACAGCTGCAGTTTTCATGTTTCTGGAAACTATTTTTTATGAAGTATTTGCACATAATGACTGAATGTTCCAGCAAGATAAAACAGACCAGACTTAGTTTTAATCAAAGTGTCTTTTTTTTTTTAAAGGAATACTTTAGGAAACACACTTTTCTGCTTTCTTGCCAAGAGCTGTTGCCACCCTCACCTCTCCGTAGCTTATTTAGACATGTGATGTGTAACGTTGCTGCTTCATCAATTTGTTCAAGTGACAGGACCCATTTCATTCATGTCATCATTCACATACCCACCACACTGACGATAGGCAGACAGTATTTGACATATGCTCAAGATTAGACAGTACATCAAGGCACAAGGAGCAACTAATTAAAAAAACAAACAAACAAACAAACAAAAAAAACTAAACTAAAATCAGCCAATGGACAGGATTGGTCACTTTCTTCACTTTCAACTTCTGACCTTCTTCACACACAGAGACAAACTTTATTAGCTGCGGCTGAGTTATTGAGTCACAAGCTCCATTACATAACATTTTGTTTTGCTGTAAAAGTCTGATCTGTTTACTAAAGTTGAAATACTTTCCCTTCATATATTTTTTATTTAAATGACAGATATTTTTCAGTTTTACAGTGTCACAGCAGGATATTTGCAGTTGCAGCCTAATTACTGAGTGAACTGACACTTCCCATAACTACACGTGAATGCAGTTCAGACATAAATGTTGCTACGTCCGACCTGGATAGACTGCTCCAGGATGCTCATTCAGACATGAAGGCGACACGTGCAGATGCTGTCAGAATGAAGTGAATGTCTGAAAGGGCCTCCGTGAAGCGTGAAGGTAAAGAGAGAGGCTCGGAGACAATTAGCTCAACTCTTTGTTTAATGCTAAATAAAAGAAAGCTCATTATGTAACACAATGCAACAAACTATACTGTATAAAGTATACTATGCCACTGTATGTGTGCACAAACAGAAGATAGAAAAGCCAAGCTCTGGATTTATGGGGAGTTTTCACACTTGACTAACTTTTTGTCCAGGTGCAGTTACAGCACATGACTGCCTTAAAAACAACTTCTCATTTTTAGTTGTCTGTTTCTGTGTATTCAAACAAATTAGATTTAGTAGCTGTTTTCACCTGGTTCCAGTCTTTATGTTAGAAAGTGAATTGTGTTGACGCTTTAGCTTCATACTTGATGCTTTTCTTATCGACTTAGTTTTGAAATGATTTTTGTAATCTTTTAAGGTCAAGTAATTTTTTGCTAAAAACATCTATCCAGTTCATTAAAAATCTGCTATTTTTTAAGTAGTGTTGTCTCATTACTGGAGCTGAAAAATCCAGTTTCTATGATATTTACAGTTCCAGTCCTGTCGTACGTCAGCAGATTTTTTTTTTTTGTCAAAGAAGGGCTACAACTGATGAATACTGTCAATAAATCTCCTAACTGTCTCTGTAAATTTAAAAAAATGTTAAAAATATTGTTTAGATATTCGTAGAACCTCAGGGTGGTGTCTTTAAAAGCCTTGTTCTGGCCAGTGCTTCAAAATTCAAAGAAATGTAATGTACAGTGAGATATAACAGAGAAAAGCAGCAAATCTACATATTGAGGAAGCCGTTCAGATTAATTTAGTTGGATGGTCATTTCAGCCCAAGTGCAAAGCAACTACCTTGACCTTTGATGCTCAAAGGATGTTCTCATATTTTTGTACAAAGTAGTGCAAACTAGATAGAAAATATTCCACTTGTTGATCTATAATTACACAAGCCATAAAATACCCCTCAAAAAGAGCCTAATGAATCAGTTCAAATAAAATAAACATTAAAATTGTACATTTATAAAAGGAAAATATGTAGAACTTTCCAGATACACATTCCTAAATTTCAAATGAGACAAAACAGCTTTAATATGATCACAAATATGACAAAATAAATACAAAAAATAACACACTGGACTAAGTTGGATAATAGACTCAAATATGTTAGGACTAGCAATTAATACACTACAGCAGGGCTATTTAAAAGACTGTAGTTGAGGAAATACTGCTAGTAATTAAAAATATACAAGATCCAACAGGTTCATGCTGTGTATGCTGACAGTCTTCAATGGAATGTCTAAAAGCAAAACATCTACAAGTTCACACAACAAATGACAACATATTGTGGGACGTGGCTATAAAGCTAAATAGTTTGCTGTGAGAATATCTGAAGAGTGTTTGCTTTGTGTTATACTGGCTCATTCCCACACACACACTGATAAACTGTTTCACCTGTATAAAGTCTGCCCAACACAGCAAAATGCCATGTCTTCACACCTTGAGTAACACAAAAATAAGCTTGAGAAATATTTAAATAAATATGAGAAACTGTATCTGACGCCGTCTGGTTAGACTCTGAAGCGACCAAACACTGCTGCCATATACAGACACGACTATGGGTGATACTGAAGGTGTGTTCCTGCTTTTAAAAGGCATGTTGTGCTGTTTGACTGTCTCTTACAGGGTGAGAAGTATCTTATCCTAAAGAAGAAATACCGGCACTTGTTGCATGAGCGAGACACCAAACAATGCGGGACAGACGGAGACCGACAGAGACATCCGAGCCCGGCCAGACCGCCAGCCTCCGTACCGTGGGACGCCTCAACGTCTTCTCCTCACCAGAAGGAACAGCAAGATGAGCCGATGTCATGTGGAGAGTCTGACGGCGCTGCAGAGGTGAATTTGAAATCAGCACACTCCTGTGATCTAAAATACAAGCTGTGCTAAAATGCTGATTGCCTCAGCTCACCATGTTCCCGCTTTATAAGAGTGACGTATTATTTCTAAACAAGGGCTTCTCTGTTAATGTTCTCTGGGCTTTTCTCTACTATCTCAGCATGTGTCAGCATTTAATGGCAGTTTACACAGAGAACCACTGTGGATGAGAAATAAAAAAGCTATTTTGCTGTAGCAAAGACAGAGAAGGTCAAAGGGCTTATGTTTCTACATAAAGGGCAGAGCTGTTTAAATCTAATGCAAAGGAGCACTTGTCAGTTGTGAGAACGAACACTACGTGCGGCTTTAAGGCACGGTAATCCTCGCAAAGTACTTTTACATATTGTTCATGCAATAAACTTGAGCATATAATCAGAGATTTGGAAGATTTAATGTATGTCACGCTGCTGGTTGAGTGCCTTCACACATGCTTTGTTCAAACAGACACTAAAGCAAACGTTATCCGTGCACACCCAGATGGTGAACAACTGAAAAGAGCAACAAAGTGCTAATGCTGGCTGTAAACCAGTGCTTGATATGGCTGAGTGTTTGGCCTGTTAACACTGAGATCACACAAATTTTGAGTTTATCACGTCTGTTCTCCTGCAGGACCAGCAGACTCCACAGCTGCTTCCTGTCGTCCAAACCCATGATTCCTCAGCACACAGCAACGTGGAAGATGAGCTGGACAGAGACTCGGGCTCAAAGGTGACAATTTGGATGATTTAAGCTCCTTTCAGACATGCACTGCCTTCTGTTTATGATGTGACGGCACATTTCCAGATTTTAGCACCAATATTGATCTGAAAACATAGAACAGAACAGAACACAGAAAGCAAAAGACAGCTTGTGCACCAAAATCCCACCTTTCTCATTCAATTTGCACTACAGTTTCAAACCTATTAGGCTACAAACAAAAATGTCCATAAAAATTAATCTTATCTGCAATAAAAACAGAGAGTAGCAGCGAAGCAATACCCACCAAACAGAGGCAGCTGGTAAAAATCTTTGGTGGGGGGG